TTAGTTTCCACCCGTTGCTTGTTGTCCTGCCTCCAGGCACCTTGGAGAATAGCTTGACTCCCTCTTCTCAGCCCCTGAGATATTGGAACACTGCTATCATGTCCCCCCTCGTCCTTCTCTTCATTAAACTAGACTTACCCAATTCCAGCAGCCGTTCCTTATATATGAATGAATATATGAATTATATATGAATGAAAATTAGCACTGGGAGATCCAAAAATACTTTAAAATCGTAATGAATTATAAGAAGAAACTAATGAAAGCAAGAGGCTGAAATGGAGACAGGACTGAGGGGAATGAAAATTAGTTGACTCAACTCTATTTTGAACTACAGAGTAAGTGCAGATTCTCTTTGGCAAGCAAAGATGATCCAACCAGGATCTCTACAATAGTCATTTATGGCAAGATAATAGTCATTTATGGCAAGATAGACTGACAATTATAGGCAATGAAGAGAAAGAGACTAGCATGCTAGGTCTTACACATTCTTATCAGGGAGTAAAAATTACTGAGCTCAGTGGGACTTAAAAATAAGTATGTATGTTTCCTTGTGCTTGCATCCATGCATAAAGTCCTATTATTAATCTGTTTCCTTTTTGTGAGTGGGAAAAAGGGTATCTTCCCCCTCATTTATAGAATAAAATGAATTAAACAGATTTATCCCCAGTATAACAATGTTCTCNTTCTCTGTATACTTATGTGGGAGTAAAAACCACTAATCTTAGTTGGGTTTACTATAGAATGGGCAGAAATCTGAGCCAGATTTCCAGAAACAGTTTCTTTTTTCTGTGTAAATATATATATTTAACTAAATTTTAAGATTAAAATGAATTTTAAATAATTATTAAAAGTATTTGGCTGTAAAATAAGATATTCAATTTGCAAAATTAATTGATTTTCTTTTTGCCTAAAATGTGGAAACCTTTTGGGAAAAGTGTACATTTGATGGCTAATAACACCACTTTATTTGGAGTAGTATCATAAAATTATATATCAATGGAAAGATAATTTAATCAAGAATGTAATGCAGCAAAGTTTGTTCAATTATCTGTACTGTATTCTATGAAAGGTTATAGCCAAATAACCAGAAAAAGGAACCACAACTTGCTTACATTGATATCAGGTAGCTTTCCTTCATCTGATTGTAGCTAATGAGCATGAGTGTTTAGAGAGCCAATCAGGTGTCATCTTGTTTTGGCAATGAGCCAATCAGATCACAGTTGGATTCAGTTATTGATGACATGTATTGAAGCTGAGAGGAGGACATTTGTCAGTGTGTTATGTGATCGCAATCAAGTTGGTTGGGTTTTTCCCCCCTTTCATTTAGTGAGCTTGTAAAACGTAATAAAATTAAAGTAATAGTGCAAAGAGTTGACTGGTCACCCAGAAAGCGATGTAAAATAGTATTATTAAGTGAACAAGGCTACAGTTATAAAGAAATTAGAAGAAAAATTGGTGGGAACTTAACCAAAGGTGGCATTTCTAAGTTTTGAAGAGGTATAAGGACACTCGGTCACTACAAAACCACACTGGTAAAGGCAGGAAAAGGTGCACTACAGCAAGTGATGATAGAAGAATTAAGAGACTGTGCCTATGTGACATAAGAAAATCATCTGGGTGTATACAAGATGAAATGGTGCAATGCAATGTGAAGTTGAGTGCAAGGACTGTTCGATGCAGACTGCAGGAATTGGGCCTAAAATCTAGAATTCCATGAAAAAAGCCACTTTTATCTCTCAAACAAAGGTTGAAAAGACTAAACTGGGCTAAAACCCATGTTACCTGGACAGAGGAACAATGGGACAGTGTTATTTGGAATGATGAGACCAAGATCTCCCTGTTTGGTAGTGATGGCATATAAATGAAGCATTTATATTTCAAATGGATTCAGCTCCATGTCTTGTTGCTGCTGTGCAAAAAGTGGTCTCAAGATAATCATATTCCACTGCTGGAATGGCCTGGGAATAGCCCAGACCTTAACCCAGTTGAAAATCTATGGAGCTGACTAAAGAAACTTGTTAGTCAGAAGCGACCCAGCAATAAAACCCAGTTAATAGAAGCAATCATTCAATCTTGGTTTCACATTATAACAGCTGCAGAACTAAAGGACTTGGTTCACTCCATGGGAAGATGTTGTAAGGCCGTAATTCATGCTAAAGTATTAACTGACATGGTGATAATTTTTCTATATCTCATTTTTTCTATGGTGATAATTTTTGTATATCTCATTTTTTCTATGGTGATAATTTTTGTATATCTCGTTTTTTCTACATTTCATTTTCTTCTTTATAACTGCTATTCTAATAGCAAATCCTTCATAAAAGTTATTGCATTACATTCTTGATTAAATTATCTTTCCATTGATATATACTTTTATGGTACTACTCCAAAAGAAAGTGGTATTATTACCCATCAAACCTCAAATGTACACTTTCCCCAAAAGGTTTCCACAATTAGATTAATTTTTTATCCTGGCACTGCCCTTTATTGGATGTGTTTTTTATCATGTACGTATAGACACCCATAGGTATTATATTGCATATACAAATTTTTAGGGAAATAAAATCCTTATGTTGGCTTCAGTAGCAATTGGTAATCTTGCTTGACAAGATGAGAAAGCTGGGCAATGTTAAGTATTTTTCTGTGTAATATTTCTTTTGTGGGAAGGATTGTCTTAAATCCAAGATCATCTTAATTTCAAATAAATGTAATTATTTAAAGATGTAATCTTGATTTTTTTGCAGCTTAAAAATACCTCTTTTAATTATTAGTGGGCTGTTTTATTTTAGAATTTATTTTCCAATTTTTTTCCCCATACTAGTCCTATATGGTAGACTAATTTGCAAAATTATACTACACAAAGCCAAACCTTTAAATTTGAGTTAGGTTTTTAACAGAGTTAAATTATACTGTATAAACACCTATGGCTATTTGCACTAATCTGCAAACCACGCATTCAAGGTAAAGTATATCTGGGGTTAGTAAAGCTGATATTAGAATTATTGCTTTATGTTTGAAATCTTAATGCCATTTGTACTTGTTAATGCTGAAACCGTCCAATCAAATATATATTTTGTTTTCAGCATAAGCACTTTTCTACAAAACCTTTTTAACAGTATCTCAAATTGCATTACAAGAGCAATTTGCTTCTGTTAACTAATATTTAAATTATAAAAGACTTGAGACAAATAAAATTAATGCTTCTACTTGTATATGTGACATTTTATTTGGACTTTTTACTTGTAGATTGAAAGTTTGCATTTGTTTTATTCTATATATCTGTATATTAGAACTTCTGTAAAATTTAAATATTATAAAATTAGTATAGTTAAGCTGGAATTTGATAAAATTGGGCATATAGATCAATAGGCTTTTATAATCACTGTGATGTAGATGAGAGACAGTTGTTTCAAGTGATGGATAAAAAGGTAAAGTACAAATGCAATTTAATGAATTTCAAAGTGATAATTACTATTGCTGTTTGGTTTCTGTATTGAACTAAGACATAATCACAGTACCCAGTAAATGAAAAAATTAAAACCTCAGCACAGACAAGTGCAAAATTACTTCGAAAACCTTGTAAGAGAACATGAGTTTAGTGGTATATTGTGATGATATTCCAGATTATTTTTTCTAAAGCATGGTTTGTTATGACTCTCACATCTCTTTTCTTCAGTTGTAAAACACATTTTTTCCATCCTAAGAATATGATATGATTATTCTTAAGATTACATACATGAATATCATTAATAACCTTAGTAAAATATTGGATCTCATATGATTTAAAAACTTAACAGCTTTGAATTGGCAGCTAATATCATTGTGAAATTAATTGTCCAGAGCCCTACCATGTTCCCAGTTGACCATAGCTTCCATAATTGTCGGTATAACCCATTAATTAGATTGGGTGGGGGGGAATAAGAATAAGCTTCATAAAAAGTACTTTATAATTGGTAACAAATCTCAACAGTAACACAAATCTCAACAGCATAACCAGTATATACATATAAATACATTTATCCAAGTTCAAGAGCAAAAAGCTAAACTCTTCATAACCGTAAGTTAGAAATGAAGCCACTTGAAAGTAAAACTATTAAAACCTATATCATGTTCTTCTGAGAAGAATCTTTGTAGTCATCCTTTACATAAAAGCACTGATGCTTTGTAGTCTTTCTTATGTGTGTATACATAGGAGTTATTGACTTTTCCAGCTAAAAATAATCCACAAACTGGTTCTTTTAAACTTAGAAACCAGCAACAGTATTAGTTCTGATAAACTGTAATAATCATGAATCAGTTGGCATAAAGTCTAATGCTCAAAGTCTGGTAATTAGATTTCAGGTTTGCCCAATTATTTTGTCAAGTCTAATGTTTATCTGCACTTAATGAACATAGTATGAAAAGATAAATAATTGTGGAAATAGCAGGCCTTTCTGATGACAGAATTATCTTGCAAGACAGAAAAAGAAGAATTATTTTTGACAGAAGAATTATGAATACAGATTGATAGTTTCCTGATGTCTGCTAACGTCCCAATGCAGAATATTAGAGTCCAATGTATCTTAAAATTCTAATCGTTCATTTTCATCACAAACTGCCTAGGGATGTTGAACTTGTTCTTAGCTGCTGGAACAAAGAGATTTGGCAAATGTTTGCAATTTTCCTTAATAAACAAGCACAGCAGGATTGCAATTTCAGTGCCACAGAAAATACTAGCAACATTCTTCATAGCATGTTTAGGCATCAGCATATTCTGTTGTAACTGTATAGCAAGGGAAGGTTAATTTGAGGTCCTATGGGACCTTAAGAATTTCAGGTGACCATTCTTTTTAGAATAACGTTGTGTCCATTTTTCCATAGTATTTACCCTCATGTCATTTAATTAGATTCCTTGAACAGCTCTCTGAATTTAACAGTCTTCTATTTTAGGTCAGTGCAGTTTTAATCACAATCCATTGAATTTGGCAGGAAGTGTTTTTGTTTTTGTTGTTGTTGTTTTCTAAGGATTTGTGCAATGGTTCTTGTCCCTGACTTTTTTGTGCAGTTCTAGTGGCTCATCCAGTAACATGGATACTACGCTCTTTGTTCTGCACATTGTTCTGAAGTCAAAGGTACTCATAGATTAAAACAAACATGAGAAAATAGAGAGAATAAAGACAGCATTGAAGTGATAGTGGCATTTCATTGTGTTTAAAAAGTGGCACATATTCAGAGTTTATTCTATCATCTGAGTCTCACAGATTTGGAAGCTGTCAATGTGCTGTCCATTGATGCGAATCTCCATTTCAGTCCTTTTTGAACTTTTAGTGTCTGTTGCTGGAAGTTCTGGAATTGTTTTATCAAAATTTTCCATTTTGATTTGATACTCCCCTTTGGTACCACGAGCGAGCATAGACGCAAAATGGTGATGTAATACAATCTCTGATGGGAGATAGGATGTCCTCCTTTGACATGTTTCCCCTGTGCCCTCTTGGGTGGCTGAAAGGAAGACTACTAGCTCAAAGTGACGGTAAGCCTCCCTTTGTAGAAGAATGGTTAGAGGACTTGATGGTGTAATAGAATGGTAATACGTCAAGGGAAAAATAAAAAATGGACACTCTTCAGAAGTTATGCTATCCAAATGAAAATCCACAGTAGTTTGATGCAGTTGACCAGTTTCACGTTCTTCATAAAGAACTGCAGAGATCCGAACACTGGTGAGTGGACTTGGGCGAGTATTAGCCACTTGGAACATTAAGTGTGGCTTTCCTTCTTTGTGTGTCACCACTGCAAGATAAGTGAACCGGATGGATAGAGCTCGATTCTTTGGTCGGGCAATTTTTGCTACAAAAGCACCTAAATAAAAAAAGAATTTAAATATAGATCATGCAGGTAGATGTAATTTTTTGGTGCTAGTTTATAGAAATGAAGCACAAATAAGTATATCACATTATTTGAAGCAGAAAAATATAAATGAACATCAACTTTAAACGTTGATTAAAATATAAGTTAATATTTATTTTTAAGACAAGAGCTATTATTTCCTATGATGTAATATTTCAAGCTAATGTTTTGTATCATCTCTCAATAGATTTGTGTTGCAATAAATTTTATTATGGTAAACCATTTCTTAGTTATTAGTAATATGAAATATATTTTCCATTTATTGTTTCATTTTACATTATTATAGATATGTTTGTATATTTATAATGAATGTATGTATAACAGAAAATTACAGACTCTGACCAGAAAATATATAGTTATGCAATAGAATTTATAGAAGAAGGGTTACCTGTATTGTAGTATATACTGGGTTCAAAAACCCTCAAATAATCATCTTTTTAGATTTTTTTTTAAAAAAAAGATGTACTGAGCATATTTACAGAGAAATGTCTCATTGAACTAAGTAGGATTTACTTTGTTTGTACAGCTGCTTTGCATCTTGTTAGTTTTAAACCATTTAATTCTGTGGGGGTGGACCCCATCTGTACAATAGATAAGACTGCTAATTTAAAATCCTTTGTACTATTATTTTAGTAACATAAAATGAAAATATAGCCTGTCAAGCTGTTCTGAAAATAATTTTTCTAATAGTCAGCAGCATAGTCTTTTTCTTCTTTCTCTTTTCTAACTTCACAACAGAATTTTCATATGAACAACATCATTGAAACACTTAGTTATGAAGTAACATCTATTTACCTGTGATAAAGGCTTCCAGCATTAGACCCAGTAGCATTTGTATAGCAAGTAGAGCAATTGCACTTGGACAGTCTCCACTTGGGAACATTGTGCCATAACCGATTGTGAGCTGTGTCTCCAGTGAAAAGGAAAAAGCAGCTGTAAAGCTAGTGATGTACTTTACACAAATAGTATGGTTTTCAGGTGGGGCATCATGATCAATGTCCAGATCCCCATTCATTTCAGCTAAGAGGTACCAGAGAATTGCAAAAACAAGCCAGTGGAGGACAAAAGAAGCAGAAAATACCAACATCATCCATCTCCAGCGCATATCCATTAGTATTCCCCAAGCATCTTTTATGTATGCAATTCCTTTTCCTTGGGCACCATCCATCTGGAGTGTGCTATGCCCATCTTTAGTGACCATCCTTAAGTACCGTTGATTCAGCAGAGGAACACTAGGTTTGGTGTTGTTGCCTTCTATCGCTTCTGTCCTCATCTTCTGAAAATAAAAAGTAAAAAACTGTGGGACACTTGTTTATCTATTTGTATGACGATCAGAGATTCTGACATATTGGCAGTGGACTAGATGCCACATGCAGCTGGCCAAGGAAGTTTTTAAAACATGCACTTCTGAGAAAATTAATTTTGGAGAGCCAGGTTAGCCACGATGGAATAATTGTTACCTTAAAAAACAAAACAAAACCATAAATGTCAAATGACTGTTTCAGACTTTAATTTAGAAATGTTAGCCAATTTAGATTTACTTGTGTGTCTAAAAGTTTAGCTCTAAAGTAGAAAAGGAGTATTGTAAGTGTGCATCATCTGAATTTAATAATGTGTTTATGAAACAAAGTATTCTATAATAGCTATTTGTAATATAAATTCTGTTCTTTTGGTGGCAATCTTAAGGCTGTCATATCACACCTGTTGCATAAAATTTCCCTCACAAACTTCTGTGAGTTTCTGTCTACATTTTCACTGCTTCCAACCATGATATTCTTATTGTCTAGAATTGTGGTACCTGGGATGTAGCCTCTTCTGCTGAACATACTCAGGCCACTGCTGATGTAAAGCTGTATTAAAAAGGGGACAGAGAATAATACGGAAAATATTATGCAATTATATAAACTATTAAGAAGTCCTGAGGAAAAAAATGCCAATGCTAAATTCCAAATTTGCCAAAGAGAAACAGGAATGAGGCTTCTCTTATATTTTATTTATATATGTGTATTTAATGTTTAGTCTGGTTTTCAAAACAAATTCATTCCTATGGGACCTATAGATGTTAATCATAATTTTCTATGGGATAAGCTCATTCATATTTTTAAAAGGAGCTCATATAATTTCAGTAATATAAGAAATATCCAGTCATGGTTTCTTGTTGCTAGAGACTTTGGAATAAACTTGCAAACCAAGCATTGTTTCCATGTTGTCATCAGTTGTTATTTATATGAATGATACATATGCATGAGAAGGGCAAGAAATTCCATGTAAATAAATAGATAATTGTCTGTGATAGACACAGTGCAGTGTATAGATTTTGCTTATGCTCCAGGTGTCTTAACTCAAAATTAGAGATTTTGTTGAGGCTAAACTAAATATTTTTGAAATACTTAGTACCCTGTAAATCACATTGTTTTGCTTCCCCATGATTACTTCTTTTGAAATATAATTATGTTTAATATTTTGCTGTCTGTTTCCCTCTGCAGTGTTAGACTAATGTAGAAACACCCATCAGTTATCCTTTCCTTTTGTTCTTTAATTTAAAGAACAGAATAGTTTGTTGTGAACATAAGCTGAACATAGTTCGCCTAGCATGTTCATATTTTAAAACTTTATTGTTTTGAACATGAAAGATTTTATGTTCAGTAGATCTAAATTATATTTTAATCTTATATAGAGGCATAGTATGATCACTAATAGATTTAAGCATGTTTTCATCAGGCTTATGAGGAAATCTATGAAAACTAATCCCACTATATACAATCACATTTTTAAAGATAGGGAATAAAGTCCAGTAACTATGCAAAATATATTCAATTGCTTAGATGCAATTAACGCATCATATTGTCATACAGTACTTTTGAAGTCTGATCTGCTAGAACCACAAAAAAAAATCAATCTTATATGAGTGGCGAAGAAGATTAAAAGTTCTGGGATATGTGTTTAAAAAACTGGAATATATATCCATAAAAGTCAGTGGTCTGTAGCTGGGAATATTGAAGGCAAAACCATGGCCCACTGATAATCTGATGGGACAATGAAAATAATAGCAGCAATATTTACTTGTTTGTGTATTAATACAGTACCTCAGAGACTGTTCTTTGAAACAACTATATAAAATAAGTCAGTATCATTACTGCTATATTACACGTAAGGGCTCTGCATTTATAGCAAAAGCAAGATTAACAAGTTACACAATTCACAGCATAGTACCTTTACATATTATGCTACAATAGCTGTGCAGAAAAACTGACTTTAGAATATTGCTTCAATTTCATACGAAGATAAGTTATGTCTCTTTATTTAAAAAGTTTCTATTGAGAAATGGTATGAATTTAAAAGTGTTTTAAAATTTTAAAATGTTAACAGTAATTTAATTTTAATTACGTTAATTTTTATACGTTTTATGAGTTATAATGTACACCATCCAAAGCCCTTCTGTGAGGGAGATGGTTGGTTTAGAAATATGAAATATAAACAAACAAATGAATAGCTTAATTATATAAAATATGAGTGTGTATAGTTTTTAAAATTGATATGTAATATAGAAACCTTCAGTGAACTAAATAAGCCATTAAGTTCTTATCAGAAATGAAGAACAATCTCTACAAAGTGTATATTGTATTACAATAGATGTGTAAGGCCATTAGGCCTCTTGTCCTTTTTGTTATTTTGCATGCGTTATAGCTAGCTTGGACACTTGATAAAAGAGTTTTTTGGAACTGCTATTTGTGACAGGTATTTTATGTCTGAAATTCATCAATTATATTTTAAATATAATTGATATTTTAGTGGTCCTGTGCTCAGAGTTCTAACATTCACTTATGTCCCTCTATTTTTAATATGGTCGGTCGATCTGTGTGTGTGTGTGTGTGTGTGTGTGTGTGTGTGTGTGTGTGTGTCTGTCTGTCTGTCTGTCTGTCTCTCTATCACTTTGTATTGATATGAACTTGGTAAAGCAGAGGGACTGGACAGAGATAAGCGCTAGAAATTTTCTATAAGGACCCCTCATAGAAATTTTCTTTTGGACGTAAGTGTTTGTGTATATACACATATTGTGGAATAACTTTGCCAGCATTAAAGCAAGATAAATGAGTTATACCATTTACAAAATGTCCCCCCCTTTTTTTTACAGTTTCAAACAGCCATTTTGAAAGGAGCAGGAAAACTTCTGTTACCTACTTTGCCTCTCTAAAAAACAGAAGTGAAAAGCAACTTCAGACATACAGAATCTATCCAACGTTTTAGCAGAATTCTGACATTCACCAATAGGAGTCAGAAACAAATTTATAACAGAAGATTACTTTAAATAGTACAAGAAAAACAAGCATCTGAATAATCCAGCCTTTTCTCTTCCACTACTGGATTTCACCCAAAGCTTTCAATCATTTCAGTAGTTTAATTTAAGGGGATAAGTGATTTTAACTGCACTTTTCCACTTTGATTTGAGAAGTAGTTCTCAAAATTCTATATAATATTTCATATTTCATCTGTTATATAGATTTACAGAACTGATATTTTTATCCCTCTCCTAAAAGTCCTTAACAAATTTTTTTCATCATTTTCACTTGCCAGACAGTTGATACTTTCTTTGAAATATCTACCATAATCTCAAGTTTTTGGTTGTGGAGTAGATATGTATCTGGGATTTTTGTCTTTATTTTCTTATACATATTACTTTAAACGACATTGCCAGTTTTTAAATTATGCATTCAGTTTGGACATTCTTCACAGTTTTCTTCAGTTTCTTATTGTGTATAATTGAGCAATGTCTACAAATACTATCTTTTTGACATATATGAAATTTTGAGAATTGGCCATAAGCACTTGTATAAATGGTTGCATTTTCTTTTTACAAAATGGCTGACATGGTAGCCATTCATATCATGTCTTATAATCAGTACTTTTTTTGTAAAAAAAAAAAAAAAAGGTGCCGGAACTCACACACGTCATACAATTTGCCTTGCCTACCCTACAAGGTTCCATCCCAAAAAGGTGCCGGAACTCCGTTCTGGGCATTTTATGACAAAAAAAGCCCTGCTTATAATAGTGGAGGTTGTTTTTGTTTTTCAGTATACCAGTTTTGAATGTAATGTTTTCAAGGAAGAAACAAACTATCCTAAAGACATTAAGGGGTCATTCCCAATACAGATTCTTAGGAACCGCCCGAGTATTTCCTTCACTGTTTAAATTACATATTCCTTCTCTATTTTTCGATACTGAGTAATTTTCTCCCCACTGTCCCATTGTTTCCTGTACAATAAGTGCCATTCAGCAGGATCATCTAAAACTAGAGGAGCTTTTTCATAGATAAGGAGGCTGTAGGTAGAGTTCTAAGCAAGGAAGGCAGTTTCCAGTAGTCCCATTATGCCTAGTGATCTGAATTCAAGCTATGATCTGCTGGAAGCAGATGTTACGCTTCTGACTTTTTTTTTAGTTAAAAGCTCAACATTAAGAACATTTTCACATATAACCAAATGCTAAACATTTATAGTTCTATAAATAGAACAAAAAAGAATTTCAACAAAGAATAATTGAATGCCACCTCTTGTCATTATCTGTTTTCTATTCTGTCTTCTACTTTAATTGGGAGAAATTGTAAGCAATTTTGAATTTTGCATAAATACACAAACAGGATATGTTAACAAACTATATAATGTATAGTAGTTAAAATGGAGTCCAGAAAACAAGCAAGAATAATGGATCATACTTTACTGATGCAGTTAAACAGGCTTAGATAATTCAGAACCAGAGCACAGAATTTTAACAGAAACAATACAGCTGCTCTTCTGTGAAGCATGTATTCAAAATGTTTGCATCATTTAATTATTAACAAAATATGATTTTAAAAATATCCTTAAATTGTCGCTTTGAAAAGAAATTTTATTTAGATGCTATACTGTTTTGTGAAGCAAATATTTTTCATAGCATGAAATTATGTTTTCCTTAGCATTTAATATTAACAGCCCATTTTATCTCTCAAACTATTTTTCCATCTTCAAAATGTTAATTGCTTTAATGATATTTTCAGTATTTATAGTAGTTCCAGCTTAACTCTCATATTTAGGTGCTTGCCAGAATATTACATCGTACCTTAAATAATGAATTTATTTATCAACAATACTGTTGGCAGATCTGAAGAAAGTGTTACTGGAAGATTATTACACTGTATTCTTAATTCATCATTCTTAACCAAAGAATAAGGAGAAATTCTTAGTGCAAACTTTGAATATCTTTCAGTCAGGTTTTTGGACAGACTGGATGAGATACTTGATGAAATTGACAGAGCATATCCTTATGGAGTTATAAAACAAGAACAAGCTGCAATGGATGTTTATGAAACTAATTTAAAAGGCATTTAAATGTAATACAACTGGTTCTGATGGATGACTTATTCCCTACAGGAGATGAAAATAAACATCATAAAATTGATTTGGTATTTTTTCTCCTCTGGCTAAGATTCTGCTAAAACTTGGAAGGGACCTTTATAGAAGTGACAAAAGGATACATTTTACTTATGGATGAAGAGAAATATGTTAAAGTTGTGAAGCTTTGAAATACAAATAAGTAGCAATCTACTTTCAGAAATGTTCATTACTTGAAGAGGTCAAAGAATACCTTTAAAAAATCTAGGAAGAGTTATAAGATGGACTTGTTCGATCAGGGTTAAAAGAATAATAGAGTTATATCTGGTTGCCCTTATTCGAATTTTGCTGATAAAAATTGATGTAGCATTTTGATTTTGTTTTCTTTACCTAAGATATGAGCTATGGGCGAAGGGAAATTATATTTTATTTAGAGACTATGATTTTTTCTTTTTTCCTTTCCCCCCCTTTTTAATCCCTATTTCCATTTTTTGTATGTAATTTTTGTTCTTTGTATTGACTTTTATTTGTAACATTTATAATTCTTAATAAAATTGTTTGGAAAAAACATATTTATAGAGAGTAGTTAAAATCATAGCTTTGGACTGGAATTTTACTGCAAAGTTCTAAGGATATAGTATTATATAAATACCATTTATTAATTGCTTGTCATATTCTGAATATAAGTTGCATTACTATTATGTAAATTGTACATAATACATAATACTATACATTTTCACTTAAAATCAAATTTGTTCAGTGTTATATGGCACTGTCATCCCCCCCCTCCACTACCCACTCCATAATAAAACCTGCGGATATTACACATGGCTTACAGGGAGTAAGCAAGGGGTCCTGTCCCCTCCCATTATCACCCCCACTACTATTCCTGATGTTGCTCAGCTGTTACTAAACAGTGCATGTGTTAAATAATCCTGCTTAATAAAACCAGAAATTAGCAGGCATGCACAAATTCTTAGAGATCTTCATAGAATATGTGTGTGTTATGTATGTGTACACTTTTGAGAGCAAGGAACATAATTTCATTTTTAATGTGTGCCAGTGTGCCCACAGTAAAAAATGACAAGGTTATCTAATTATATATCACATTTTGAATTATTTTTTCTTCGTGTGTGTGTGTGTGTGTGTGTAATTTATAGAGCCATGGC